ACGGATCAACGCTATGAAATCAATCGATGAGGTAAGACGACGCTATCGCTGCTACCTCTCACAGTAGCGGAGACAGCGCGAGGGAAAGAATTAACGTCGATATCGTTTCGCCCTGATGTCGATGCCATGTCGCCTGTATTCGGTTGCCGAGCGACAGGACGCGCCGCCACTTCCTCACCGGCGGACATTAGCAATTTTAATCGCTCGGTGGCGTCGCCACGTGCCGCCCTCTGGCTGTTTACCTAAGCTTGCATATTGCACGGCAGAAGTGCAACAAGGAAGTTGGAAGCGCGATTTTTCATTGCCTGTCAGACACTAAACCTGTGCGCTCGACCGCCGGGGCAAACCTGCGCTGGCGCGAGAAATACGATTTCACCGTAAGGCCAATGCCTGAACGTTCTCATGGGCGCCTTTCAAACCTTAACCAGCGCACTATTCATTCTCGATTTTGCGCCCGCGAGAACCTACAAGTTCAGACAGTGCAATATACTCGGTCAACATAGGGACATGCTGCTGAAAGGAAACGACTCTCCGTACTGTGATGCCGAAGCCTATAGCCATTTCGTCAACACATCGCCAATGTTGACACGGGGGAAAAGCGGCGAGCTACATAAATTATGGCTTTTGCGAAAGGTACTATGTCATAGATAGATTATTAACCTGAGCTAAATACACGACACTGCAGGGTTTGATGCGTGTCGCCTCTGTGGACTGACTCCCTTCTGTAAGCGCTTTGAGGTGCATGTGCGAACATGTTTTTATGAGATGAAAACAACCAGACGGAGAGCTGCATGGCAACGAATAACCTTTAACTTTGGCCGATACGAGGAAGAACTCTCCGAAAAATTGTTTAAACTAGGAATTCTTACAATGCGTTCTTATCCTCGCGTATAAATCGTGCTTTCAACTCCAAAATACTATCCGAATTAATAATTTTGCGTTTCCCGATGTTCGGTAAGGGCTAATCAGTGATGAGCAAGACCTCCTCGTATGTTAAATAGTTATATACCACGAGCACATTCATATTACGTGCTCCCCACACACGCACACGCACGCACGCACACGCACACGCACACGCACACGCACACACACACACACACACACACACACACCACACACACACACACACACACACACACACACG